TTAGGTTTAGTAAAAGTAAAATTAATTTTACGTTTAGTTAGTAGTATGTAGTGTGTATTTGTGTGTGTGTGTGTGTGTGTGTGTTTATATATATATATATATATATATATATATACACACACACATGTACACAATTAATAATAAAGAAACATGTATGTAGGCAAGAGGCAAAAAACATCTAGAATACTCTAATTTACAGTCTATAAATTCAACTCTAAGATATTACATAAAAGTTCTCACAGAGGTAAATTACAGCATAAACTATGAGCAATAAGGTGGCTATCTACCCTTGTTGGTTCTTTATATTTTTTATGCTTGACTCTCAAAGATGCTTGTTGATACTTATTTCATGTATTTTATGCTTAACAAACAACTTGGAACTTGACAAATTGAATACATTTTAAATGTGTGGAGTACTTTTTTTGTTCACAAGTCTTAAGATCAAGAATAAAATATATTATTTAAGTACAATAAATGCATTTTATAATAAATTTTAGAATGGGGATGTGGGTATATTTTAATTTTGAACAACTTAAATTTGCCATCAAAACAAGATTTATATCTATATTTAAGTGTTCCTATTAAAAAACAATCAATGTACTGCACTAATGATGTATAACTCTGAAATTTCAGAATTCCATGTTACAGAGTAAACAATAAATGGAATACTGATGCTTTTGAAAGCTATTGTTACTGGTTTTAAATGAATTTTCTAGCCACAGCAGAAAATTCTGTTTTATTATTTCACCTGCATGCCTATATATTTTGCTAGAATTCAAAGTCTCTAATTTCTTATATTGTATAACCCATAAAATATATCTCCCTAATCATAAAGTCAGTAAATATTAAGACAGACTGGCTAGCCAGATTATCAAGCAATATAGCTAACTTCAATTTAACTGTAAAATAAATGAGAAACTTCTTAAGCTTAACCAAATTAAAATTCTGATTTTAGTTCTACAACCAACTCTTGCTTGACTACCTTTTGCTAATTAACTTAAAATACTTTATTTTATCAAAACAGTAAATCGATATTGTATATGATTGTAATGCACATCATCACTCACTTAAGAATGGGTGAGGCATATAACCAAGAAGGGAGTTGTTTGTGATAAATAAGGCATACTGTATAAAAAAAAATATATATACAGAAGTAATGAACTCAACAAGCAGTGACTGACATATGACTTCCTTAAAAGTCTGTAATCAGAAATAGGTAATAAGTACACATGCTTAAAATATGCATGTCTCTTTTCAAACATCAAAAACACTAACAATTTTCTGACACACTAGGATAATATATATACTAATAACTTGAATAATTCAACCATTATATTCCACAGCTCTCTGAATGCTTCAATAATGCTTGAACTTGTCATAATAGAAAACTTCTCATTGTGAGGCCTGATACACACTATCCAATCAGAATTGTAAAGCTAGCCGAAGTCGTGCAGACCTTTTGTCTTCCGAATGTTATTTACAAAATGAAAGACTGTTAAAGTGAAAAAATTTATACTATATAAAAAAGCATTGTCAAATATGTATATGCAGTGTAAACATTTATCCAAGCTCATTACATACTCCATTTAAGATACTGTTCAAAATTTCCAAACATGGTGATTGCTCTATCATTTTTTTAGAAAATTCACCTAAAATTCATAGACACCTAGTGCTTCCAGCTTGACAATTATTAAACGTTAAGGCATTAATAAAGCAATAAGAAAGCAGCAGGTTATTCAGGTAAAATGATACTAATTCTGTGAATATTCAATGTAATTTGTCACAAAAACACTATAATGCTATATGTAAGTCTTTGATGATTGGTTAAAATAAGTACTTGTTTTGCTTGTTCACCTATCCATTGGAAACAATGTTAGTGGCATTCCCAGTGGCTATGCCTTGAAATCAGGGTTTGCAATAGTACTGATGGTACCAGGTTACTGGTACTGGAACTAACTGTGTACTGCCGGTACTAGAGCATCTCTAATCATGTGACTTGAGCAGTTAGAAATACAACTATTATTATTCCCAGTGTGTTATCGTGAAAAAATTATCTTTCACATCAAACCAAATTGTCAATTATCTGTAAGCCCACATGGTATGATGACTATGCCAATGAATCAGTTGCAATCTAGGCTTTTATTTGTTATAAATTTAATGGGAGTCGGCCCCAGAAAAATGTATTAGCAAATTGTAAATTAGAGCATATCAGAGGTAGGCGTGGAAAGTGGTTTTTAATTTTCATTGATTGCTCTTTAGCCCCATAAGATTGAAGAATATAAAAACATAGCTTCAGAACATCGATGACAAATTAAAGATAATATTTTATGTAACATTTCGTAGTTTCCTATGGGGTGGACAAAAAAATCCAGAAGAGGAGACGGCTCAAGAACAAATATCCATATTCTCACACTAGGAGAATTTGAGGTTATTTTTAAATATTTCCCTATACAATTAAGAACTTAAAACTTATATAATATTAAGATCTAAATTATTATCTATGGTTTGATATCAGGTTTGCTTGTATACCACGATAATTAAGTAGTTTAATTAAATTTTGAATGTAACTCACTAAAATGTTGTTAGGTGCAGTTTGACCTGCCTGCATGCTAAGAGTTAACCAGGCACGCACCTACCTAACATGTAATCAGTCATGTAGGCACATTCACGTTCCCTTCCAGTCTCCCATATTTCATGCTATTGCCAATTTTCATGGTGAGATTCACTTATTGACTGAAGTATAAACTCAAAACTACCACATCAAACATTTATAATTTTGTGAAAAGCGAAGCTGAAATACCAGAGGAGGTGCTTGGTAAAACTCCGAAAATGGAACATGTGATATTATTCTCAACATATGATATACTATAAACCAATACCGGTACAGGTACTGGATGCTGAGTACAATCGGTACTGGTACTGACTGCAAACCCTGCTTGAAATACTACAAAACATAAGGTTTTTTTCATACATAGCAACTACAGAATAAGGGAGGGTATGTAACAAACATTAATAAAAATCATTTCACCAGAAAAGCCAAATATTTACATGATGAGAGTGCAGTAAGTATTTTAAAGAGTACATGTACTGTATTCAAACATGCAACCAAGAACTCTTCAAATAAAATGAAAATTACAGAACATTTTTCTCTGACTCAGTTGATATCTAACTGGAAACCTAATGTGTTTGAGCATTATATATTTTGAAAGCATATAGTTAAACTGCTTAAAATACAAACTCAAACCTTTGAACAAACTAGCAACATTTTCAATTCTAATACATATGTAATTTCTTTTAACAACTATGTGTATAAAAAAATGTTATACGTATTGTTTTTCAAAAATGTAATGCAGAGGTTTTTTATATGATAACATTTAGCAAAAAGTAACATCTTTAAACTCCTTATCAAACAATACTCCATACAAGAGAGAGAGTAATAAACTCTGCCTTAAGTAGTTTTATCACTACAATGACATTTTTTGTAAACTTATGTCACAATACCACTGACATGTAAACATAATTTCCACAAGTATTTTGTAAAGCCAGCATAGCAATTCACATTAGGAGTGTCACAGCCACTTACAGCCTTCATAAATAAGAAACGACAAGTAGAAGTAAAGTCCTCATAAAACAGGTGTAGTTAAACAGAGAGTTTAGAGCTACAAATATGAATAAACTCAATTAACATTATTTGAAATACTCAAAAGTTATCTATACATGATTGGTTATAACTTAAGTATTTGCAAAAACATAAATTCACTCATACTATAATTTCATGTTGTGTTTTTTCACTATTTTTCACTTCTTGTGTTAACAACAAAACTTTTTTCTATTCTTTGATCATATCAAGTAACATTTAAATATTAGTCTAAATAAGGCTTTGGCAAAATACTGTAAGTTATCTACTGAGAGGTAATACATCTTAACTACTTGTACAAATGATTTGAATCTCCATTTCACTGCCCTATGACCTTATGGATTCTTATACACTTTGCAACTGAACATCTGCCTCAATGTACAATATTTACAAGAATTTCACTCAAGAATACACTTAATTAACAGTATCTCATAATGTTTAGTTAAAAAGTTAAAAAAAACACATGTATAAACACATGTATTATATCATGAACAAAGTAAGTACATGTACAGCTTTCTGCCTGAACTTGACTTTTCAACTTAATTCTTTAATGATGAATCTTCTAATTTTTTAATTTACAATACCTGGGTTTTTGTAAGAAAAAAAACTACTAATGGAGCTGGGTGATTATTCAAAATTTATAACTGGTTAATCACTGGGCTCATTAATCAATTACATACAAGTAAACCAATTATTCTCACAAACAGTTTGATAGTTGAAATAATCAAAAATAGTAATAACTGTAAATGCTATTTTTAGTTAGTTAATTACTTTTATGATTATTGTTACTAACTGATTAAGCCAAACAACCTTGAAGTAGTAAAAAAATGATAATGATAAATCATATCTGCGATACTTCAATTAATTCATTATTTTGGGACATTAGTAGATACAAACATAATTTTGATTCATCAAATATTTTTAATTAATACTAGTCGATGTAACAGATGCTCACAGATAATTGATTACATCAATTACTCAAGTTAACCACCCAGCTCTAACTATCATGTTCTCAGAGTCATATTTAATACATTTTTTTCAAAGGTAATACTTCACTTACAGAACTCATCTCTGAACCTGAATGAATGAATTCAAAATAAAGGGTTTCACATACATTGCACTTGCTTTTTTTGTTTTTTGTTTGCATAATCAACAACATTTTCTTTTATGATCTACTAAACACATAAGATATACAAAAGTACAGTTTCTATAGGTATATTCAATAACAAACTGTCTTCATAAATAAGTCTTTACTTCATTTGTACAAATAAAGTAACTTACTTGCATACAAATACAAGTCCATAAGCACAGCATTCTGCATGTACACATATTCCTTGTGTTTTGGAAAAAAAAAATTAAGACTATTCTAATAACAAAAAAAAAACTTTGGAAAAGAATTTTCCTAACAAGAACTACAATTTTGGAAAGGGTTTTACTAAGTATAATTTTTCACCTTGAGGACTGGTGTAGATTGGCACCCTTTTGTAGTGTTCAACAAGTTCGTCTAAGTCATTGAACCTGCGCTGACCAATACAATAGATCCCATTCTCTACGTGGACTCGAAAATGTTTGTTTCTAACAGCAGCCTTAAGCGAGACAGAAAAATCTCCAACCTACAATGTGAAAACATAGTTCATACATAAATATTCCTAAATAACAATGGCACAAATAAATTATTTCAATAAAATTCATTCCTTCGAAAAATCACAATAGTCATATTCAATTGTTATTCCATGTTTCTTACACTTTTTGAACCATTCAACATATTGAAAAAAATACAACTTTCCCTAGCTAATTTAGTCCAATTTACCCTAAGTAAATATATGTAATCAGTAAAATATGAGAGGAACTATAATGTATAACCCTTGTATTACACATATTGTAATTACCACTAATGATGATAATTTTTATGAAAAATTACAATAATGCTAAAACGAATAGTGAAATGTCATTTTTACAATGACTTTGAAAACTTGTTGAAATTAGTCTAGAACAAGTGTTCCCAAACTTTCTCAACCTATAACACACCTGAGTAGCCAGCTAATTCTTCTGGGACCAATGCTAATTTAGGGGTGTATGGGTTACTGTGCTCAAATATTTCAGTATAAAGTCTAGTAGTGCTCTTATTTCATGTTTTTGTTTTGTTTGTTCAAAAAAATGTATAAATAACCTTTAAATAAAAATATATTTTTGTTTTACTATGTCTTGTTCTACAACCCACCCAAAATACCACTTGTGACCAACAGTTAGGAAACAGCTCATGTAGAGTAACTCCAGCACTCAAAAAGACTGTATTCAGATTTTTATAACAAATTAGACATAAAATATTGGGGGGGTGGTTTGAAATAAATATGCTGTGTTATTTAACAAATGCCTAAACTGAAATATACATATATATGTCACGAAAACATCAATAAGATTCATATGTGTATATGAATAAGAATATACTGGAATGTCACACTTTTTTTCCCTTCTTTTGATAATTTCTTCTACCGGGTTTTGTGACTTTAAAGGTTACTCTTCAGGAAATAGTTTTACTGAGAATCTACATATATATATATATACATACACACACATATTTTTCTATTACTTAGCAACAAGTTACATTTTTAGCAAGAAATAAGTTTGTATCTTAAATGTACATTACTGAACTTACAAATAACAAATGCAGATATCATGTTTGGCATATTTTAAAAATTTCCAAGAATAATTCTAGGATCAAATTGCATATTTGGTAATATTCTGCCTGTGTTTAACTTCATATTAAACATGGTTAGCATATTTTTGTCACAGATTTCATACTGAATTAAACACATATCTAAGTACCTAATTCGAAAGACTAGACAGATATTTTATTGAATACAAGTCTTATAAGACATAATAGATTTTCATGTTTTTATTAAAATTAGCATTTTTATGAATGGTGGTTGTTTACAGTAGTTTTTCTCATACCTTTTATCTTTTCGCATGTTGCATATCCAATATGCAAAGTAATTTTCATTTTAAGATAAAAATACTTTTATGCATTAGAAAAGTTTCAAATTTCAAATGCAAAATCTTTATACAGTTCAGTTAGTTATCAAACATTTATTAAGAAAAACTATATATTTTATCTGTTATTCTCACAAACAAATCTATGTAAGGATTCCTTCAATTTAACCAATCTCATAACCACCTAAATAAATATAAGGAAATAAATATAAATTATACCTTTTTCATTCTAGAATGATTACAAATTATAACACGAAAACACAGATGTTTAGACTAAATAGCTTAAATCTCATAACATTATACAATTATATATATATTTATTATATTCACCTTTCAGCCATGCCTGGCTAACAATACAAAAATTACAATCATGTAGCACATGTGCACTGATGTTACTGTATCAAATAACATAAAACAGACCTTCGGTCTTTACAAAGTAACCTATTTTGGCTGTGTTTTATTAGACTAGTACTTTGCAATACAGTCACATTTCAATTATTATATATGTATATATATATTATAGCTATTTAGAAATAAGTTATTAAACTTATTTCTCTTAAACTTGGAACAGTAAATAAAGAAGTAAAGCAAACAATTATCTCTTCTAGTTACGACCTTTGTACTCAGTTGCTAAGCCTTTAAAAATTTTGCATGTGGAGGATAATTAAACAAAATTAATTTTTTTTTAGGTTTTATATATATATATACATTTGAAATAACCAAAAAATCATAAATTGATATATCGATACCATAGAATTCCACTATAATTTATCAAACTTAGTAATTAAGCTGTATTTGGGTCTAAAAAATATGAAATTTTGAGCAGACTAAAGACTCACCTTATCAGCTTGAAGTCTTATATCAAAAGAACGAATATGAAGTTGTAATACTTGAGAATGGCTGAGAAAATCACTAGGGGGACATTCTGAGCTTTCGATTGGTTATTCACCTGTCATAGACTGAAGTACATGTATATATAAGGAAGTGTTTCTAAAAATGGAAAGAGGTGGGTGGGAATACTGTGTTTGATTCAGTAAACATTGTAATATCTCAGCAAATAGAAAAGGTAAGAGGTTCTTATTTTATATCATAGCCTGTTAATATCAGTAATTTGAGTCCCTAATTTGTATGAAACTATAGACTTAGTATTTTGACATCACAAACATCTAATTTGAACCAGTGCTGCATTCAACACACCACGTGACACACCAAAATCAATGTTTAACTGTGCTTTTTAATATTTACTCTTAAATTAATAAATTAAATAATGTATATCATTAATACTTGAATTATAATCTAAGGTCTGATACCAAACTTATCGACATAAATTCATAAAATAGTAGTTCAATAAAATTTTGAATGCGAGTCAACAACCGCGATGACATGACCTTTGACCTGTGTGGAAAGAGATAAAATGTTTTTATGTTTTACTACCAACTGTTGTTGAATTGTTCATTTACTTTAGTTAAGGGGTCATCCATGTGACCAAGTGTAACAAGGGAAGGGTCAAAAAGTGGCCTAAGTCATGTGAGGTCTTTTATGGACAGCCCCTTACAACAAAGTCCTACTTCAAAATTTTCAAGAGTTGGCAACTCTACCTATGACTAAGAGATTGTTTGAAATTTTAAAAAAGTTATCAGTTTCAGTAACTCTCAAAGTTTACTATAAATCATGCAATTATGTAATAGTTTTTAAATAGTTATAAGCATACATTATTAAACTGTCATAGTTATTTGGGGCACCAAAGAGGGATTTGTGCAATTAGAAAATGAAAACATTTATTGGTTCTGGGCTAATAACACACAAATGGTAGTACATCTTATGACAAGAATAAATAAATAAAATGTTCAACATGAAAAATTATTTAGTCAGTTACCTGTGCTCTAAAGCTTTTGACATTATAAATATTTCTGCAATGCTGAAACTTGCATATTTTTTTATTGTTCCTGAGCCTTTTGTTCATCATTCAACACTTGACAATTTGGTGATATTTTGCTATGTTTTCTAGGTGCGTGCTCTTCTTATTTCTGTATTAACATCTTATCAATGACCATTCAAGGTAATTGTGTGTAAATTTAATACATTAATCACTTGATTGATAAATAAACTGACACTGGTATAGTTTTCATTTCAACAGTAACCCCAAACTACAGGTAATCACTGTCTAACTCATCGATCAGTTTATGGTGAGAATGATGTCCCATGTTTTGTGTTTGCTTTATTACCAACAGAATTATTTTTTTCCAACTGGCAAATACATAAATATAGATGAATGATATACCTTCCAGTTAATACTATGCATATTTGGTATGCACAATTTTTATTTGTCATGCATTCTTACATAATATTATTATGTATATTTATGTGAACATGCATTTTATCTGGGGTTTAATCCTTAAAAGCCAGTGTTAAATTTTCAATCATTAACACTAGGTGGTACGCGGTCATAATGACCCCACACTGGCATTCTAGGGTTAAGTAAATAGGACTTTAAATCAAAAGATATAATCAAGTTGAAGGTTTAACATTAAACAAAGTTCACATTTAGATGTAAGTCATGCAAATATGTCTAATGTCATTTGTCATGTTATTTGCATATCTTATTTTGTTACAAACTGTAAGTTTGCAGATTTACTGTTCAATTGTTCTATTTTGCATTCAATATGTATATCATGACCAACAATTTTTTGCTTACTAGGTACTACATTTGAATCCAAAGACTGAGCAAAAAATCTAACAGGCACAAGATTGACATAATTAACCATAACTTACCAAATGGAACTTAGTCATACATATACATGTACATTTGAAAAGTCTACAGAATATTACACAAATCTTTATGAAGAAATCAAATCCTTCAAACCACAGGTTGAATACCAGAAGCAAAAAACTGGATAGAATCCAAGTGCAAAGTGACAAATTAAAATTAAGCTTCATAAAGGCAGAATAAAACATCTGGTTTGGTTGAACACATCCAAGAAAAGCTTTTAAAATGGTCACAAATAGTGCACATCCTAAGGGAAAATTGGTAAGCAAAAGGAGTCACATATTCTAAGGTAGGACAACAGAAGAGGGAAGAAAGTCTACGAAAGTTGTTACTGAATAACAGGGTAACATAAAAATTACAGCAACAAAAGGTGAAAAAAATCATAATATAAATAAAAATAGCATGGTCACTAAAACTTTGCCAAACAGTACTCATTATTGTGAAATACTATAAACATTTAGTTCATAAAGTTTGAAAATTGATCTTCCACAACTGTGGTATGTTAATTTCAGAGTATATGTTTCATATATTTTCATTTTAAAGCTCAAATAATATACAAATGCTTTAAAATTCATGGGTAAGGACAGAAGGTTTCCAAATATCAGCAAGTGTAGGAGAGTCAACATATGGTAAACACTGTTGCTACAGATTCAGAAAACTAACAGAGCCCAAACTGAGCCTAGCTTCCAACTTAAGGAAGTGCAATGGATGGCTTGCACTAAAAAGTTTGTTGGACAGCTCAGCTATTTTAGGTTTGGTGAATTTTAGTACATGGCTGTCAGGGTACAAAGATGAGAGATAGAATTACTAGTGGATACAGAAGTGACTACAATAATGATAGATCTTGTGATATGT